GCAACTACGTGCTAAATCAAAAACATTGACTCGACGCGCAATGATGATGAAAGTGTAGGACGAACAAACCGAAAAATCTTTGTTGCAGATAAGACGGACACACGAATGGATCATTTCGTGCGGGATTCGATACTTTAGTCAGCTCGCTACGTAGAGAACGTGTCGCCGAGTGCACGATAGGCGCGATATTGATAGTCCGTCGCGTCAGAATTCTCATTTATCTTCATCCTTCAATTTCCCGTGTACGCGTGCTAGATCGTCCGCGGCCGCTCAACTCGCCAGAAATGAAACAAGGCTACCGTGTTTTCGAGAGTAGACGTGCCGAGAGTGATAGTGCTCCGAACGTATTCCAAACGCCACCAGCCGAGGCTATGCGACGGATATTGCATCGAATCGGCTACAAAGCTTTTTTTTATTCTTTCCCTACCCGGAGGATAGATCGGGAGCCGATGCGCATCTTCCGCATTTTCCATCTCCGATTATTTATCTCGTCTTCCGTGCAATCTTTCGAAAATTAATGGATCTGCCGAACTTGCCGAGTTCACACCATCTTTAATGCTGCATCTTTAATAATCCAACAATGTAAGCTTCTTTGCGCACGGATCACGGTTCGATATTATTAACGAGGAGACCGATAATTACGTAGCATCCGTCTCTCCGCTATCAATCATGTTGCAATTTTAAAATGATCCATGAGAAGAACGTTGAGATGAGACTCGACACTGATATCGACGAACTGCGAGGCGATTTCTTTTGTATCCAGCTCGTATTGCTCACGTGTGTATTGCTCACGTGCATAAATATTGATAGAATTTTTGAAAGTTCCATTCCGGAAGACGATAATGACGTTGTTTGCGTTGGCAATAGTAAGTTTCATTATGGAGCCGCGGAGTCGGACGCAGATCCGTGCCGTAACTACGAACGGGGCCCCGTAATTACGGTTGCCAGCAAAATTATTCGTAGCAGGCAGTTTCGCGCGATACACACACCGTGTCCACAGAGGAAACGATTACCTTCGCGCAGACAGTTGACCGATTAGTATTATTAACGACGCTAGGTAAAATCGGTAAGCGTCCCCTGGTGTTTCGCTCCTTTCCTTTCCTCTTCGTCGGAGCGTTCCACGTGCTGCATCGGAATTTATCGCTGACCATCGGAAATGCCGTATCCATCGAAAAAAGAAAAACTCGGCTGATTACAGTGTTCAACGCTACAGCCGATAATCGTCCCTACCGACAAAAGAGAAATCGTGTCCCCGATTGTAATAACGAGTCAACTGTAAGCATAATTAATCTCGTGCAAGACCAGAGACGATTTCCAAGAAATTCTCTCAGAAATAAAGTCTCGCAAGCGAAAAGTCGCTAACGAAGTCGATGCTTGAATACTGACGGATCTTCTTTCCGTGAGCTCGCCAGGCTAATTAGCTGTTTAATCGACAGTGGCCGGTCGTCGGTCTCCAGTCGACGGACTAACCTCTGTCGTTGGTCCCACCCTTGCAGCCAAGTCAAAATGCCACAAACTGCATCGGAAAGGAGCAACGAAATACAGAAGGGAATGCCGAGCTACAACCTGAGCTACGAGCGGCATTTCTCTTGGCAATTTGCGAATTATTAATTTAACCATTCCCCTTTAACGGTACGAAGCCCGCGGCTAATATTTTCCTCGGAAGTACCAACAGTGGCAAGGAGGGATGGATATGGGGGCTTGTCGGAGAGGAAAGACAGAACCGACGAAGAGAGGGATGGATGAAACGAGAAAGACGAGAAGGAAACGAGGTTGAGAGAACTGGTGGTGGAAGGAGTTGGCATGACGTAGATGGTTATCTGGTCTTGCCATGCAGCCCATAGTTTCACCGTGCAAATGCGCCCTAAACAAAGTTCCGCGTCTAAACATAAAATAAAAACAGGTAACAAAGCTCGATAAGTTCACAAAACATTCCCGCCAAGTGACAAATACGTATTATCGAGAAAATGACAAATTAATCGTTTCAGTGACGGATACTTTACTATCATTCTTCCTCGAGTAGTAAAAAATCGTTTGAAATTAAAAATATTTTAACATTCTACGTTCAATAGCAAAATAAATGAAATTCTCGATTTCTTTCGATATAATCATACGACAATCACAGTTTCGATGAACATTCCCAATTACAATTACGTTGTTTGAAAGCCTAATTTATCGTTCGCTTATTGTTTTTTGTAACTAATCGATTTCGCAAGCGAGAAACCGCCACGCCGATTGAGAGATCACTGAACGTGATTCGTAACTATTCGTAATCGCCAGCAAAAAACGAGGTTACGACTCTGCTTGCACGAAATCATAATTCTTGTCCTCTTTCCCAAAGGGAAGTTAACGGGATATATATTCGATTTTCATGGTTGACTTATTTGTCTGAATACCATCTCCTCTGTCGCATCATGTGCAACTACGAAACTAGTATTGCTCTATAACGATCAAAGGGTTGTCCCCAATTTCAAACGGTATGGCTAATCTAAAACAGCGATTTTCGTACCATGATTTCGTTTTACTGTTCC